CTAGCACTCCAGAGTAGTTTGGACAATCAAGGAATTTTAAGGACATTTATAAAATATTAGTTATCTACTGCTACTGTTCACTTCAAAACCTAAAGGAGAATAAATCAAATAAATTATATGATTTACATGTTAAGACTTTGAGAGTCAAACGTTTTATCTCTGCCTTCTCTGTTAACTATTCTCTTTGAGAGTAGATAATTGATTCATTAGACATCTTTATTAGCCAATTAACTACCCATTTCCCTTGTTTCTTGTAGCATAACTCCCTACACACCAGAAATGAGTTTTCCTACTAAATGCTTTAACTTGATTTGACAGTTGAACTTTCAGGCTTTGATCTACCATATTTTAATTTGCTATTCCCCCCCCCCCCTGTTTTTATTGTGGTGAAAATATTTGCTATGTTTTTGATGGAAATTTATTGTCTTAAATACTTTCTCACTTAATTATGATCCCTTTGTTCAGTTTTGAATTTAGCACAATCTACTTTTTGGGAGGTGGTAGTAGTGTTTATTGTAATTTGGATGGGACTGTGGAGAAGAGGGAATGATTTTTAAAATTGTTGGCCACAAATCCTCAGCTACTAGAAAGGCAACTTCTAATTTAAGAAAATGGCTAAACATTTCTCTTTCCTCTTGGAATAGTTTCCTGGGAAACCAACATACATATTTACCTAAAACATAAAACAGTATAAACCAGTGGGAAAATAAAATTGTGCTTTGACATTTATGTTAATACTTTAAAAATTAATCATTAAAAGTATAGGTATTCCAATTTTTAAAATATGTTTCAAAACATAAATGTGACATAGATGGCAGAAGATAATATTTATTAATAATATTGCTGATAAATATTCAATCAAGATGCACTGATAGTTACTGATGTTTGGAATGTGAAAGGTAGAAACAAAGGATCAGTTGTTGGAAAATGGAGCCTTGTTGATAGAATAATACTGGAGATTGTAAGACAGAATTTTGCAAGGCCAATGACCTATTCATTGGAAATATGTTTTTTCAACAACATAAATGGTGATTATACACATGGGCCTCACCAGATGGAATACACAGGAATCAAATGACTGCATCTGTGGAAGGACATGATGGAGAAGCCCAATACCATCAGTCAGAACAAGGTCAGGGTCAGCAGACCTGCAATTGCTCATATACAAGTTCAAATTGAAACTGAAGAAAATTAAAATGAATTAATAAGAGCCAAATTTAAAATCTTAAGTATATCCCACCTGGATGTAGAAACCATCTCATAAATAGATTTGACACATTGAACACTAATAATCAAAGAGCAGATGAGTTAGAGGCTGATACCAAGCACATCATATGTGAAGAAAGGAAAAGGTCATTCAAAACACAGGAAAGAAAGAAAAGAACAAAATGAATGTCAAAAGAGACTCTGAAACTTGCTCTTGAATGTAGAGTAACTAAAGCGAATGGAAGAAATGACAAAGTAAAAGAGGTGAACAGAAGATTTCCAAGGGCAACTCAACAAGACAAAATAAAGTAGTATAATGCACAAAGACCTGAAGTTAGAAAACCAAAGTAGAGAAACACACTCAGCATGTCTCAAGCTGAAAGAACTAAAAAAAAAATCCCCAGCCTGGAGTTACAATATTAGGAGATTCCATTGGCAAAATATTAAACAACGCAACAAGCATCAAAGAAAGATGCAAAGAATACATGGAATTGCTGTATCAAAAAGAATTGTTTGATGTTCAGCCATTTCAGGATGTAGCATATGGTTGCTAAAACGGCAAGGAGGCCACATCTTCTGATCTCCTCTAACCCTACAAGAGGAAGACAGGATTACCAGCAGTAACCCAAGGCCTATTCCTACAAGGCCAGACATGCTGCCT